TGCTTGCCGATTTGAAATTCAAAACCAATGCGTGTCCGTACTGACTGCTCCAGGGCCTGCGATCTCCGATCCCAGAGTGTGCAGAAGCTGTCAAGAGACGCTTGTCCGCCGCAATTACGCCACGGCCTCTACACAGGCTTCCACAGAAACTCCCTCCACCGCCGCATCAGCTTTCCCCGTCGTGAAGCCCACCCATACCATCAAGGCCGGCGTGGTCCTCTCCCGTCCCCCTCAAATCACCCGCGACCTTACCGACTTCGAGAAGGCGTACTATTTCTACCAGAAGCGATTGAACGAGCGTCTCCAGCTACCTTTCACGAAATACTTCTACTTTAAGCGTGGAACGCCCGCTGACGAGGACTGGAAGCGCAAGATCCGCGAGCGTCAGACCCCCGCACGCGACATCGGCAAGTACAACCCGTACTCGAAGGAGGCATGGAACGATGAACTCCTCGTTGGAGCCGTCGAGTCGGACCCGGCCCACCAGGTGGAGATGCTTGTGCAGGATGCGGAGTCGACGGTCAATGCCACTTCCCAGGACACCAGCAAGAAGGAAGAGATCCCGAGGCCCTTCCCCCGGGTGACGGAGGCGGACCAGAAGAACGATCAGAGAAGCCTCAACCGGGCACTGCAGAGGACTCTCTATCTCCTTGTGCAGTCCAAGGATGGATTCTGGACGTTCCCCAGCTCTCCTATTGTGGCTGAAGAGACTCTCCGTCAGGTAAGTTCCGCTGACTCTGCTCGGTGTTTCAGCAGCGGCAGTGAGCGCTAACGCTATTTGAAAACAGGCCGCCGAACGTACCCTCGAGCAAGCCGCCGGTGTCAACATGAACACCTGGATGGTCGGCTACCACCCCGTGGGCCACTACGTCTACAACTTCCGCAACCCGAGCAAGCTGGCAACCGGCCCCGCAGGCGAGAAGGTCTTCTTCATGAAGTCGCGCATCATGGCCGGCCAGGCCGACCTTTCCGGAAACGCTCAGAACCTGACCGACTTCAAGTGGCTGTCGAAGGACGAGATTTCGAAGTTTGTGAAGCCGCAGTACTACGCCAGCGTCAAGAACATGCTGGCCGATCGGTAAGCCGATGTTTCTTAGGTGTGATGGAGTAGTAGTGTATGGATATGGATAGTTGTCGTTGTGCGGACTTGTTTCTTTCCCCGAGGGGGTTTTGTGCCCTTGGTTGGTAGTACAGCAGGTCTGAGTCTTGCATATATCATCTCGTCGGTCATGTATAACTAGCTTTTATTGTTTTCTTTTCGCTTTCTATTCGCAATGAAGACCTTTCTTGTTCCTAAGACTATTTCCGAATCAACCAAACGCCATGCAGATTCCTTCCCAGTTATAGTGACAATAGACATAAGTAGGTATCTTAAATGCAGAAAAGAATAACTAATGACTACTTCAAGTTGAACTTCTGCCCCGTAATCGCAGGCTGATTTTTCGACGAACTCCCCGTCAACCCCTTGCCACACATCGGACACGCTATACGGCGTTAGCCAAATCATCCTTCAATAGTAATGTAAAAAGAAAGAAAACGAACCATTCTTCTGATACGCACACCGCTGACAATACTTCCTCCCCTGCTCCGTCTTGGTTTTGCAAACCTCACAGGAGGAAGCATACGCCGCGTAGGGATTCTTGGCTTTGGAGCTGAGGAGTTTGCTCTATACAATATTAGCATCGTCAACACGGTATATAGCAGTAGCAATAATAGTAATAGTCATAAGAAATAAGGAATAAAATGGATTGATACATACCTTCCCAATCCCCGTACTCCCCAACGTACTAGACTTGGCTTTCCCTCCAGCAACAGCAGCACCAGCACCAGCACCACTGCCACTGCTGCTGCTACTACCACCGAGCGTTGTGGCTGGTGAGCCATAGTACATTTCTGTTTTGCGTTTCACGCCGGGAGTGGCGAGCTCCGTTTGTTTGAGTTTCTTTTGGCATTTGGAGCAGACCATTTTCTCTTGCTTTTATTACTTTTGGTGGAGGGGGGAGGTTGAAGGGAGAAGTGAGTATGAGCGGTTATATGTTGAGATATGGTGAAAGGTGGTGAAAGATAGTCTGATGGGAGGGAGTAAGTATGTCGGGATAGGAAGTATTGGATGGATGATGGGTGGAGAGTATTGGAGGGATGATGACGCCAGTTGCTTGGTTGGTAGTGCTAGACTAAACTGCACCCGGGATTTGCGTGGTGGTGGGGTGTGGGGTGCCGTAGTTGGGTTGGGGGTATACATATCTACATTGGCAGTTACGGTGGGTGGATGTTGGTTTGAATACATCTTTACTTGCTGTGGGAAGTCATCGAAAATGTTGCTATGTAATGTAATTTATTTGGTTTGGTTGGGTAGGATCCCCGACTCTCAGCTGGTCAATACTAATATGTACTGTCATATAATATTCGGTAGCAGTGTAGTGTCAGAAGTACCAAGTAGTTGAGGTGATCATCAGAGTATATACTCCAATAAGCAACAAGGTACTATTTGACCATGTTTGAATAGTACAAGGTTCTCTGCAGGGTGTGCTGCAGTCTGGTTTGAATCAGTCACAAAAAGTGTTGGACCCATGTTATATCCTCACACATCCCGCCGATCCGTGCATATATCAGTCCGGAACATTGTGATTCCATATTGCATTTGGAATGTCGCTGCAGTTGATTGTATATGCCAGGAGATTGTGCAAAGTCTGCCGAGTGTGTAAGAGATGCTTAAACGTCTGGATTCCCGCTTTGATCTTAGTACGAGTGCCTCCAATCTCTGCTCTGGATAGCTTAAGATTCCCTTGAATATCAAGTAGTAGATCAAGGGTGAGCAGGAGCAGTGACGACTAGTTGATATGCCTACTTGGTGGTTATTTTAATCCAGAAATTAGGCGAGTCTAAAAAGAACATCCAAAGTCCACATTGATATCCCGTCCGGCTTTTAGTTTCATCGGCTTGGAAAAAGCACGTCAGTAATCACAAGCACATTGCAATACCGGTAGATCTGTATAACTGGGATAAGTCCGTGGCTTTCCAGAAAAGCTCACCGGGTGCGAAGGGTATAATGCAGACAGCATTGATCCATCCACACTCCAGAGCAGCATCAAGGGGCCAGACAGGGCGGAGATCTAGCGCTTTTATCTTCAAGTTGGGCGCCTGCCAACACCGTTGGTTGCCCAAACAGTGGCAGGTGGATTTATAAAGCTAGCCTTCGGAGAGGGTATAGACAATAAGCTAACAGCCTCGTCAAAAGAATCACGCCTTTTTTTTGCCCAGGCGCCTCGGATCGTGACAAGTCATAGTTCGACGGGGATTTTCCAAGTCACCATGCCTTAGCCCCGAATAAGGCCAATGACGGTGTGCTGACTTCGGAAACCAAGAACACCCTGCACCTGCAGGTAAGCATATTAACCATTTAATTTCTGGCCGCAGTTCTTCAGGCCTCGGGGGATGTTCATACATAGGATGGTGCACTAGGCGACAGCGATGCAGCCCTTTTGATCCATGACCAATGTTTCGAGGTACGGGCGCGATGGTGTGCACAACCACCCGCAACCCGAAAGGGCCACATGCGTATGCCTCCCGGACGGCAGTAAGCAGGCCAAAATAGAATCACGGCTGACTGGCCATGGAAGACGGGAAGAAGAGAAAGCAAGTAGATAAGATGAGCGGTGGTTGCTGACCATCGTGGCCTCCGAGTGGATGTGGCAACAAATTGCCCGTCTTAAATCCTTCTCGTTCGCACAACCCAACTTTCCCTCCACTTCGGCTTCAGCTCTTCCACGACATCCTCCCCCTCCAATTCTGACAGCCAATCCCCGACCCGCTTGGGCTTTTGAAATTTCGTGCAGATGGGAGCTGGACATTCAGCTGCCCTGAACAAGGCGACCCTCCCTCCCACAACTCAGACTTGCGTGGTCCTCCCCAAAAAGCTGTTTGTCTCCCAAAGCTGCAGGATGACCCGCCACTCCTGAACTGGTCTGCATTGGACGGCGAGTTCCAGAGCCCAGGCTGGACTAGCAAACCTGCAAAGACGGGAACTCCTTCGCTATGCACCAGGCAGGGGAAAGCAAAGAAGAAGAAAAGTAAATAAGGAAAAAGCGAAAAGCGAAGGGCAACCAGAAGAAGAGAACGGCACAGAAAAGCAAAGAAAGGAAGGAAGATGCAAGCACGGGTCGCCGTGCTACCCAGGTTCCTGGATACTGTCGAGCAATGATCGCCTGTTCCAGCGCCGTGGTTCGTCTGGTTGGACATCGCTCTTTCTGCCCAGACCATCACCCTGGGGCCAGCTCGCTGGTTCCCTGACCTGACTCTTCTATAAAGCGGTCCTTCAGGTGGCATCGCCACGGGCTGGTTTCTTTAGCTGGGATGTTGTCAGATCACCGCCAGTCGCGTTGGACTGGCTATAAGTCTTTGTTCTGGTACTGTTCGTGCGTGTCTCAGCGCACAGCCAGCTAACTGTACGTCTCCCATCCTCGCCTTACCAACCCCCCCACTCCGGGCATCTCCTTTTTTTTTATAGGACTCTTTTCAACTGACCCTGACATAGTCTAGCGGTTTTCAATCATTTGTGTTTTTGCTTTTTCCCCCCAGACACTACTTGGGCGCCCGGACCAGGCTTGGTTTGCTACTAGCTTATTGATTACCGACTCCTTTTCCCTGCCTTCACCTTTCTTTTTCTCAGGGCCCAGAACGGCAGGTTGACGTTGAGCACGTCGTCAAGAGGTCGGGAATCCCTTGCTTCAAGGTGGAATCGGAACTGAATCTTGCCCACACCGCACGCTTCTTTTCTCTTTCATCTTCCATCCCTCCCCCTCAGCGGGCATCGCTCATTACCCTCCCACGAGCTCTCCGCCCAAAGTTCTAAGTGCAAACCTAAAGTAAGGATAAGAGGGCCCTTGAGTGACTCGCCTACTTAGTGTCATCTGGTAGCACGGAAGATTCGCGCAACGAACCAGGGGACGTCTTTTAGTGGTTACTCCAGTGGTCGAAGGAATCGAGAGGAGATAAGGAAAATGCCCCCCAGCAGTTCGTCTTTTACGGCGCTGAATCTGCCCTCGACATTTTCGCTACCGCCATGCATGGAATACTTCACTCTCACCGCCGGCCCAAATACGGACCTTTGGCGTAAGCCACCGAACCGGGATACTGCAACGGCTCCTATCGTGTTTACATCCTTGCGGAGCCCATTTGTAGTTGCCGAGGTCACTGTCACGGCCGACTGGGAAATGGAATGGGACCAGGGTGGTCTGGTGATCTTTGCCGGAGCTGCGCCGCAATCATTCTCGCCAGACAGTACTCCACGATCGGGCCGCTCCGGGTACCCTCAACCGTTACGACCCTGTAAATGGGTCAAGGCCGGGATGGAGTTCAGTTCGGGCACGATGAACGCATCGTCGGTAAGCGCAACCTCCGACGGCGCGGACTGGTGTCTCTCACCACTGTCGATCCCCGATCGCGGTCCATCGGCCATGCATTCGTTACGCATCAAATTGGAGCGAGTCGGACATTCGCTCTGGATATGGTACCAGGATCCATCGGCGGTGCCGTATGCAGCGAGCCCGGCGGCCGTGAGCAGCACGTGGAAGAAGCTGCGGGAAGTAACATGGTTCTTCTACGGGGTAGAAGACAAGTTCGTCCACGTGGGCGTCTATGCCAGTCGCCCGCATAGTCTGCCTCGCACCGGGACGATGTGGGCGATGGCCAATGGTCCGGGGGTGGCCGGATCGTCGGCGGCGGCATCAGCGAACGAAGGGTTGGTGGTCGAGTTCGAGGATCTGGAGATATTGTAATTTTTTTTCTGTCTTATCTCGTCTTAGCAGCATTGCTTTGGTTCCAGCTACGACCATTGAACGCTTATGAGTCGATGAGCTTTCTTTCTCTTTGGACTTTTGGGCTGGTTAGGTTCAGGAGCCTGGTGCATTGCGGGAGATAGCGAACATGGGTTTATGTTATGGTTGGAGCGATTGCTGAGACATGAGCATCTGTTGAGTTTGGCTGTTCAACACTTATCGATTTAATGAAGAGTTAATATAATCTTTTCTTCCATACTTAGATATACTTACGAAGTATATTAAGTCGATACAACTTTATACAGCGGTTATCATTTCATGTTTGACTGGTTCCTCAAGAACTAAGAAACTGCTTCTACCTGAGAACTGATCTAAAGAGACGACGATTCTAATATTCAGACTCACCCTTTCTACGGAACCTCTAGCATTGTATTCCTACTACCCCAAGTTCTCTGTAGAATAATATTGCTAGGATACCTCCAGAGAAAGCAACACGTGGTAGTCATGTGACTCAATTAAACTATGATTGCTTAAAGTTATGTATTCTTTCCTCTTCTCCTACCAGTATTGTCTGTTATACTTCCTGGATAGGGACATCATCATAGTAATTCATTTGCGGGGAGCGTCAGGAATCAATCTCGCGAGGAGACTCACTATCTTACACCATGTCAGTTTCCCACATGCCTTGGAAGAAAATGAAGCCTCAAGGTTCATGTCTAGTGCTGGGGTGAGGTTGACACAGTATGCGGGGTTACTCCGAGCCACTTCGGGGTTTCGTGGGAATGATGCGCGAGAGGCGACTACTTGCGGTTTGTTGGCATGCATGCATCACACATAAATTTTTCTATGCTGATAAATGATATGGGTCTTTCTTGTCACTTTCTTGTTGTACTTCACTCCTTATATCTTCCCCGGCCATGACCAGCCAGATCTTGATTGAAACCCCTACAGTTGAGCAACACTCAACCGGGTTTGGCATTGGAACCGCGACTCCGCGCCTGTCATGGCGATTCCTCACCACCGACAGTAGTCCTCGCGACTGGGAGCAGACGGCCTACGAAGTGGAAGTTGTTCGTTCCGGATCTCGAAAGGAAACCTACCATGTGAACAGCAATGCATCGGTGCTGGTCCCTTGGCCCAGTGGCCCACTACAATCCCGAGAAATCGCACAGGTCCGTGTTCGGGCATACGGGTGCAGCGCCGGCGAGGAGCAGCATCGTGACTGTGCCACCGCTTGGTCTCCCTGGCGGATCATTGAGTGTGGACTACTCGACCGCGCTGACTGGGTAGCCCGGCCTATTGCCAGTCCTGAGGAACCACAGCCGGATCATCCATTACGGCCGGTGCGATTCCGTAAAGAGTTCCAAGTCCCTGCGGCAGGTACCATCGAAAAAGCTCGCCTTTATATCACGAGCTTTGGAGTATACCGCGCCTTCATCAACGGGCATCGAGTGGGTGATCAGTGTCTCGCGCCCGGGTGGACCAGTTATCGCCATCGCTTGAACTATCAAGTGTTCGACATCGCGCCCCTCCTGAATGCTGAAGGCCCTAGTGTCCTTGCGGTAGAGGTTGCAGAGGGGTGGTACGCCACTCGCCTCGGCTTCCTTGGTGGGCGAAGACAGTTGTATGGGGATCGACTGGCCGTGTTGGCACAGCTGGAGATCCAACTTGGACCTAAGGGAGACCGATTCTCCATGTGTACTGATAGCACCTGGACATGTACTCCCAGTGCCATCATCCGGAGTGAGATCTATGACGGCGAGGTTTACGATGCTCGTGAAGAGAATCCGACCTGGAACTGCTCGCTGCTTGACCAAGCCTCTCGCTGGGTGGCCGTCCGGGAACTTGACTTCCCAACCGCGGCCTTGGTGGCACCGAACGCTCCTCCAGTCCGTATCACCGAGGAGATATCTCCAGTCTCCGTCCACAAGACCCCGTCCGGTGCTACTGTCATCGACTTCGGCCAGAACCTGGTCGGCCGACTTCGCGTGCGCTCGTTGAACAAGCCCTCGGGCTCCCGCGTCTCCTTTATCCACGCCGAAGTGCTAGAGAATGGCGAGCTCGGGGTTCGACCCCTGCGACACGCCAAGTGCACCGACGAGGTCATTCTAAATGGTACAGAGCTGGTAGATTGGTCGCCTCAGTATACGTTCCACGGGTTTCGATTCATCCAGGTCAATGGTTGGGATGAAGAAAGCGATGGATCACTGCTCCTCAACATCAAGGCGCTTGTGATGCACACTGATATGACCCGCAGCGGATGGTTTTCCTGCTCGCACCCTATGGTCAATCAACTCCACACCAATGCCTGGTGGAGTATGCGTGGGAATTTCCTGTCCATTCCTACAGACTGTCCCCAGAGGGATGAACGTCTTGGCTGGACCGGGGACATTCAGATTTTCTGCCCATCGGCCAACTTCCTCTACAATACTGCTGGCATGCTGAGCGACTGGTTGCAAGATGTCGCGGCCGAGCAGCTGAGGGAGAAAGATGGCTGCGTGCCTCCATTTACAGTCCCCAATATCATTAGTGAGACCCTGTGGCCGCATACGCCGCAGGCTGTATGGGACGATGTGGTGATCCTAACGCCCTGGGCCCTCTACCGGTCGTATGGGGACAGCGACATTCTCCGCCGTCAATATGAAAGCATGCTCGCCTGGATCGATCGCGGCATCCGTCGCGGCTCAGATGGACTCTGGGACCCTGAGCTTTGGCAACTGGGAGACTGGTTAGACCCAACAGCGCCGCCCGAGGAACCTGGGGATGCACGCACCAGCGGAACCCTCGTCGCTGATGCCTATCTCGTGCACATCACCTCGGTGATGTCCGAAATCAGCCAGGTCCTCGGCCAGAGCCAGGATGCCGCACGGTTTAAGACGGACTATAATCGACTCAAGGCGATGTTCCAGGCCAAGTATATAACGGCGACTGGGTTACTAGTCGGCGATACCCAAACGGCGCTTAGCCTTGCCATCGTGTACGACCTTCACTCCACCCCTGAAGCAGCGCAAGCTGCAGCATCACGTCTCGTCCACCTCGTCCGGTTCGCCAAGTTTCGCGTCGCCACCGGATTTGCGGGCACTCCAATCATCACGCATGCTCTCACCAAGAGCGGACATCCCCAGATCGCCTACCGGATGTTGCTAGAGAAGTCTCGCCCATCGTGGATGTACCCCATCACCATGGGAGCGACGACCATGTGGGAGAGGTGGGACAGCATGCTCCCCGATGGGTCCATCAACCCTGGCGAAATGACCAGCTTCAACCACTACGCCCTGGGTTCGATCATCAACTGGCTGCACTCCACTGTGGCCGGCGTCAGCCCTCTGGCTCCAGGTTGGAAACACATCCAGGTAGCCCCGACACCTGGGCCTGCAATTCACTCTGCCGAAGCCATGTATGACACTCCTTATGGGCGACTAGAATGCCGGTGGTCGATCGAGACTGATGCAGACCGCTTCCACATGGACCTGTTGATACCGCCCAACTCTCGTGCGCGCGTGATTTTGCCGACTCGGGAGAAGTTATCACAGCCCGTTGGTTCTCGTGAAGACGGAGGCTTTTGGGTAGGTTCGGGGCGTCACAAGTTCTCAGCGATCTTCGAGTGGAAGGACTACACTAGGGACTGGCCACCGAAGCCTCTGATTCCGATTATGCGTGAACCTGAACCGGAGGATATTGCCTGAATTTCCTCTACTATCTAGAACATCTCGACCTCCTAAATACAATGGAGGCACCCCAGGTGAATGATAGACGTGGTATACCTGACTACTAGGCACTCACTAGGTTTTGGTATAATGGAAGGTATAATATATAATGCTAGTTACCTGAACAGCAAGTCATAGTCAGTCAAATCAAACTCGGCCGTAAGACAGAAAAGCATAAAGCCGAAAATGACGTACTGCTTCCATGTACATAGATCGTAGTACTAGTAGTATTATTGTCTCATAGACATTCAGCCAATACTATGACCATCATCGTTAGTACCGTGAACTACTATTCTGGTTATTTGTTTATTTATACTTATTGATCCAACAGCTTAGAAACCAATCCACACACAAGAAAACATCTACATACTACATAGTAGTACTAAGTACTGCTAGGATCCATGTGACGATCCCGCGCCGCTAAGGCATCTTCGATTCGCTGCCCGAGGCTCAAGCTCCTCGCAGATACAGTAGTATGTGAACGAGGGCAAGCGGACTCCGAGAAAACCCCAACCAATCATGAATCTAACTGAAGGGGGAAGCATTAGATAAAAACTAAATAGAGTTTCCGGACTAGACTACATTTTTTTCTGTTTATTATCACCTCTAGTATATACTTTGTTCCTATGCAGGAGGAAACAAAAAAAAGTTACCCAACTACGTCAGAATATGAGAAATGACGACGACAGATGTTTTGTTTTTTGTGTGTTGCCCAGTCAGTCATGACTCAGTTGGTAATTGCCGTGATTCTGGTTTCTGGTTCCATGGCTGTGCTCCACTGCGATTTATAATGGAATTGGAATTTGTCTGGCTGGGTTAGTCGAGGGGGGAGGGAGGGGGTATTGGTTATTGGATTAGGGGGAGGGACTGAGAAATACGAGTCTATTTGATGGAGTAGATGGATATACGGAGTACTATGGATAGATAGTGGATGGGGGAGGGGGAGAGAGAGAGAGACGTCAATAGGGGAGGGAGGAAGCGAGAGGATGAAATAGGAAAAAGGAGAAGAGTCGGTTTTATGACTCATTGTATTCATTATTAGTTAGTTGTGCTGTTTGTTCAGATCAGTTCGTTTCCTCTTCCACCGAATGGTGGTTTAGGAAATTATCGATATGATTTCTTATTCGTTAGGTGCAATTAAACTCGAACTTGCAGGGCACTACTACATACTTATCTTCTACTGGATGGGAAGATCATACACCTGACCTGAAGGAACTGCGGGTTTCGCTTTTGCCAACACAGCAACTCTCCGAGCCGGAAAAGTATGATGATGATGCTGATGCTGATGATGATGATGTCTTCTTGTTATGCAGCGACTAAAGCATAACACTGGGAATTGCGGAGGCGAAAATGTAAGTGCAAAACAGATGGGACTGACTGGACTGGACTGGACTGGAGTGGTACTTATTGACCTACATATGCTGTGCAGCGGGATTCGATGCGATCGGATCTATCTGTCTCTCCATCTATTCCCCAGGTAACTATCAGGTTTAGATCAGATTTGACGTACTTTAGTATAGTTCCTCCTTCAATAATTGGTGAATTGGTAAAGGTGGCTTAACCAGAAACGAGCGAAGTAAATACTGCTAGTACTGGGTATTTTGTTGTTGTTGTTGTTGTTTATTGTTTTTTTTTTTTTTTTTTTTTTTTTTTTTTTCCCTCTTCGACCCGGTTTTGACGAGGTTTACGTGACTGGTTGCCATGAAGTAAGAAGTTTCAGTGAAATCACCTAGGGTCTGACCCGGAAATTTGGCAGTAAAAGAGATTCCATATCCTTTTGATTGATCCCAAGGTGAATGAAGCGTTAGATCTATGGAAGACGTAATAGAGTTGTATACTAAGTAGTAACTTCTTGGTGGACGGGACCGAGCGGGCACGTGCTGATTGGGCGAAGGCACAACAACAACAACAACCATAACAACAGGAAGGTTGCAGCTGCACCACAACCTCACTCTCCCTTCGATGTTCCTGGTTTTCCATCCACACCCTCATCTCTCGCTCGCCACACTTTCTGTCCTACGCACCATACCCTCTATTATCTCTCTAATTTCACCGCAGCCACGTCTTGCTCGAGGTGGTGGTGAGCTGGCGGGCCTGGCATTGGCGCTAACCCGGCTGCCCGCCCAAGTGGGTAGCACAAGAGCCCGAGTCTAGAGTTTATCCAGTCTAGACAACCGCCGCGTTTCAGCGCCCGTTGTTCCCTAAGCTCTTACTAGTCTCCTAGTCTCCTAGGGGCTAGGATTGTCGAGCATTGCATGGTGGAGGTGGGGACAACAAACCCTCCCCCCCGTCACCATGTCGACCGCATCGCCTCAACCACCTTCCTCTCCGTCGCCTGAGTCCCCAAACGTCGCCGAACACGCGCAGCCGGTGCGCTCCTCGACATTCTCTCCACCCCCCAACCCATTACACGAAGAAGGACTCCCGGCTCTCGAAGACGTATTCCGCGATCCAACCCCTTTGATGGTGGCGGAGAACGCGCGGGGAGGTCTTTCCCCGACCACAATGGACACTCCCGCCCGAGACGGCGCTGTCGACGACCACTACGCTCATGAGGAACCGGGCGCCCTCAGTGATGCCCAACGCCATAATTCTGCAGTTGACCCATCGACGGTGGAAGACCCCGCCCATGACGATTCGAACCTGTCCCTCCCCCCTTTGCCCGACAACGATGATAGCAGCCTTTTGTTGTCCGCCGACGATGACTACCAGGAGCGAGTGGACGACCAAACCTTCATCAAAGAAAAGGAAATGCGGCGGCAGTTGATGGATATGGAGTCCAGCTTTCTGCCGGAACCTTCGACCATCGAAGTCGCAACCACGAACCGGATGATTGGTGCGGATGATACTTACTTGGTTGGAATACACGAGGAGGAGCCTGTCCCTGAAGTGCTGGAAAACACGCAGATTTCGTTCGTGCCGCCCGATGATTCTATACATGACATCGCAGCGGCCGCGGATGGCACTCACACACCTCAAACGCCCACCCCTGAGCACAGACCGGACACAGCGGAGGATTTGGACGCAACGCCTGCCGCTTCCCCCGAACAACATGGTGACAACACCACTATCCTGGAAGCGATCCCATCATCTCCTTCGGCGGCCGCTGCAGCGAGGACAAGTACCCGTAACCGGTCTACCTCATCCGAAAATGCGCCCGACACCAGCCAGATTGCTCGCGACGATGCATTTGATCGCTCTCCTGTACCGGACGCAGACATCTCACTCCAATCCAGCCATCACAAAATTCGCAGCCTATCACGCAGTGTGTCCCCTGGAACGTCGAGGCTGTTTCAGGACAACAGCGCGAATGACGCCGATACAGCCTCCCATACGAGCAGTCGTCGAAGCAACCGACCGAAGTATCTGACTAGTCGTAGTTCGGCCCATCGGCTTTCATATTCCTCGGTCACGAGTGCGGGTACAGAAATCACAAACAGTGATGCGACGTTGGGCGCCGACTACGCACTTCAATCAGGCGGTGCAGCGCCGGGCAACCCGGGTTTAGCGCATGCCGGACAGCGCAACACATTGGCCCGGTCGGTCAGCTTGGGAAGCATGGCATCAGGTATCTCGGGATACAGTGATGAGAACCTCTTTGATCGGAAGAACCCTGGCGGGACCACGGAAGGAGGCCTACAGACCTTGGATGAAGAGGAAGGCCCAACTCAGTCACGTCCGGGGTCGTCTTACCAACGGTATCAGCAACAGCAGCAACAGCAGCAGCAACAACAACAGCAACAATCAGAGCAGCGCCCTCAACAAGACTTCCATCCCGATGACGCTTCTGGACCGATGACACCACGGGCGAAACCCCAAGACACCGGATTTCCTACGGATACGGTCCTCGCAGAACGTGTCAAAGACGTGCAGGTTCCCAGCGCATTCGTGAAGCAGTTCCGGGAGGACTATGGTAGCCGTGGATTGTCGCCTGAAAAGCGGACGAGCGCCACTCCGGCCTTTGCCCGGAGTGGCCGCACCATGACGCTCAAAGAGCAAAGCAGCACCATTGACCGTCTTTCCAAGGAGAACTTTGACCTCAAGATGCGCATCCACTTCCTCAATGAAGCACTAAATCGACGCTCTGAGGAGGGCATCAAGGAGATGATCTCGGAGAATGTTGAGTTGAAGTCAGACAAGCTGAAGCTGCAGAAGGACAATCAAAGCCTGAAGCGCAAGCTGCGCGATCTCGAGAAACAGTTGAAAGACCAACAGTCCGACAAGGAGTCGATGCTGAACCATGACCCCGAAGGGTCGGACGAGGAAGACCGTGACCCCGCACAGGACGAGGAGATTCTCTTCCTACGCGAGCGGGCAGAGACATATGAACTGGAAATCGAGCGACTCCGTTCGGAAAGCATTGCCCGCGAAAGTGAGAAGAGACGACTGGCCGAGATGGTGAAATCCCTCAGTGACGGGCGGCCCATGGGATCGGATGTTGGCGCCCGGGAGGAGAGGGTAAGTACTGGATTATCCCTTTGTGCATTCTGGACGCTGATTGTTTGTTACCGCAGGATATGTGGAAGGACATGCTGGAGGCCGAGACGGCGGCTCGCGAGCAGGCAGAAGAGGAAAATAAGCGGCTGCGCGAAGAGACCCTGCGCTTGAAGAACGAGATGAACTTCCCTGTCGTCGCCGCGCGAGTCGGGCAACGCGACAGAATTGGCTCAATGGCCTCGTACTCTGCGGCGTCCGAACGAGACTTCAGCCGCGATCCCCATACTGTTAGCTCATCCAGCTCGACGCTGGTGATGGAGTTGGAACTGCTCAAGCAAGAGAATGCGGAGCTGAGAAAGGAGGTGAGCGCTCAGACCTCGATGCTCACGTCCCGGAACCGGGAGAAGGAGCGGTTATACCAGGAGATTGAAGAGCTCAAACTTGGTCAACGCCGGGATGGGACTCGATCGGTTGCCGGCGACAGCATCTTCGATCGCTCGGCGTCCCGGGCACATGGTCGGCCCTCTTCGCGCGCCAGCGATGGCACGGGTCAATCGCCGAGCGACGATGCCGAACGCGAAGACCTAGAAACGCGCGTAGGCCAGCTGCGCGACCAGGTGTCGGCTCTGAAGCTTGAAAACCAATCTATTCGGGAGCAGCTGGATGAGGTCAACCAGGATTATGACTCGCTGGACAAGGCATATCAGGCCGACGTCGATGAGGCGGAAGAAGAGATCTCGAACCTTCAACAAATGGTACAAAATCTCCGGCAGGAGCGCGACCAGTCCATGCAGATAGCCGAAGAGCGCGATGAAGCATTCCAAAACATCCGCGCAGAAGCTCAGGAAGAGCTAGACGCCATGAGTGAGGCTCTAGAGCAGAAGGTAGAAGAGTGCCAGCGATTGAGCGAAGAAGTGCGTGTTCAGGACGAAAACCTTCGGGCACTCCAGGCTGAGATGCGCTCAGCTAGCGAGGGCATCATTCGGCTTGAGGAAGATGCACAGAACAATCTCCAGCGGTACAAGGCCGTCCAGCAGGAACTGGAGGACTGCAACCGCGAGATGGAGTCGCTGGAGAAGGATCTCTATGAGGCTAACACTAAAGTACAACGGCTCACCGTGCAAATTGAGTCGAGTCAGAATGAGATTGCGTTCCTCCGCGAGGAGCAGGATGGCGACAAGATCAAGATCGGAGATCTTGAATCGGAGCTCAAGTCCTACCAGCTCAGCCTGCAAAGCGAGCGCGACAAGACACGCGAACTCGAGGAACGGTTGGCGGAGGAACGGCACCAGCGTGAAGTTGTGGGCAGCAAAGAGAAGCAAGAGGTGCAGCGCATTGTCAACGAGCTGAACCGTGAGGCGACCTCCGCCAAGGAGGAGAACCGCAAACTTAGGAAGAACCTGTCGGCGCAGGAAATTGAAGCCGCCACCTGGAAAGAGCGGTTGCTGGACTTGGAAAACAACCTACGAGAGACGCTGGGTGATCTAACCGGCAGTCGCTCTAGTCTGATTTCCAACATCATGAAGCTGCAAAAGGAGCTGGAGTCGACGGCCTTGGAGCTCGAAAGCACGCGAGCCAAGCTGGACGACAAAGAGTCGCTTCTGCGCAACCGCGATGCGCTGCTGGAGAGTCATGGGTTGGAATCGCGCAAGCTGGCCGAGCTGCTGGACCGCGAGCGCCATGCCCGCCGTGCCGACAAGCAGTCGTTCGAGCAAGCTCTCAAATCCCACCACCAGGCCTCGCGCACCATCACGCAGAACAACTCGCGCATCTCGGAGCTGGAGAATGCGCGTAATCAAGATCGCAAGCGCTTCACCACTCTGGAGCAGCAGTTCCGCGACCAGCTGAGCGAGCGCAACGTGATGCTCCTAAACATCTGGAAACGCCTGTCAGCCATGTGCGGACCTGACTGGGCGCATTCAAACAGCTTGATCAACGGCAATCTCCCCAGTCAGGAGGTCATTGGCAACATCCTCTTCTGGCCCGGGTTTAGCCGCAATCTTCTGCTCGCTGTGAAGACCGTCGAAAGCGTTATCTCGGGCTTCAAGTCGCGCATCAAGGGTGTTGAACGGGACTTAACCAAACAGTACCAGATGCTGGAGCATACCTTCAGTCTGCGCGTTAAGAAGCTTGACCGCCTCGAGGAGTCCATGATGAACATGCGCGCACAACAGCACAGCCGGAACCAGTCCGGGATGTCTCCTGAGATGGCGAAGCTCCGGGGTGAGAACCGGCTCTTGAAGGCCGAGCTGAACCTGCTTCAATCGCACTCACGCAGCCGGGGACCTGCCTCTGCGGCCGTCTCCGCCGCCGCTGTTGGCATTGGATCCAACTCCCCACGGTCGCCGACACGTGCGCTGAGCCTAGACCCTGGAGCCGATGCAGAACCAGGCTCTCTGATCCGTCATCATTCAGCAGTCGAGAAACCCGCCCCGTCGCGTGGTCTGTCGCGGAGCGCCACCACTGGCATCCCTCAACCCTCGCATTCGGCCTCGACAACCTCGACGGCGACGCTCGCCAATGATGGACCAGGAGCATTGGTGCAAGGTTCTCGCTCCCGACATATGTCCGCTGACCCGGGGAGTAATGAGAAGTGGATCCAACGCTTGCATGAGCTGGAGAAGCGATTGAAGGCCGAACGGGAGGCTCGCCTTCTGGACCGAAGCGGCGCACGGCGGCGCCTGGAAGAGCGCGATGCGGAGAACCAGCGACTCCGCGCGCAGCTCGAGCGACAGCATGTACGCAAAGAGCTATCCGCGGGCACGTCGACCGATGAGGACGTACGCGCGCGTGGTCAACGGCGGCTCGAGGGGTCAGACCCGGGCACGAGTGACGGATATGATCGGCGTCGGGACGATGAGATGAGCTCGAGCGAAGGCGAGGGCATCTACGTTGACATTGAGGTCTGAACGTAGCCTTAGGGGGTGAGGTGGGGGTCGTGGGCCATGGTCGTTGGGCGTATTGGGCGTTCCAGTGCAAGGCTTGCGAGTGCTATTCTTTTGGAAGATGTTCTAGTCCACCTGGTGTTCATAAGGGCTCTTTTGATGTTCTTATCATTGCATGTATCATATACCCTTCGGTTCATTCTTCGGTTCGTCTTCTTTCTTGGACATTTGCCATCTGGGCATTGTGTATTGAACGCGTTGGTTAAGCCAGATAGCAATGGCACCGAGACACATGTACATAGACATGCAGGATGATTCTGTTGATTTCTGGCACAGCTATCCGTAGGCTGCGTCTTCATCCGGAGTAATACAACTATCTAGCAAGTAGGATATACACATCACATCATCAAAATCTGCCCACTACCGCAACGACACCTTCAGAGAGAAATCGACAATGCCGGTTCCCTGATGAATCGAACTCGTCGACAAGATATCCACATCCGGACAAGCATAACGAGCAGCATTCTGCTCATTCAACCCACCACTAACCTCAACCAAAAACGCCTTCCCCTTCCCAGCCCAAGTAGTCTTCAACTTCCGCGCTGCATCCCTCACCCCCTCTGGCGTGAAATTATCCAACATAATCACATCCGCACCCGCCTTAATGGCCGCATCCGCCTCCTCCAAACTCCGACACTCGACCTCAACCTTCGTCGCGAACCCCCCGGCCGCCTTCGCCGCCTGCACCGCCCTCGGGATCGCCCTCACAATCGACCCCTCCTCCACCGCCTCCTTATCGCCACCATCCTTAGCCGCCGAGTTATTCGCACACGCCCACACATGGTTATCCTTCAACATGGTCATGGCACTGAGATCATGACGGTGAGGGTCCGCCCCGCCAACGAGAATACCATATTTCTCGACGACTCGGAACCCAGGGGTCGTCTTGCGCGTGCCGGCTAATGTGCCCGGCCAACTGTGGCTGCGGAGGATGGATACTAGGGTGGAGGTCTTGGTTGCGATGCCGGAACAGCGTGCGAGGATGTTGAGGGCGACGCGCTCGCCCAGTAGGATCTTGCGGATTGGGCCGGTGACGGTCGCGCAGTGGGTGATTGGTTTGATAGGGGTGGTTTCGGTGATGTGCCATGTTACTCTGTAGAGGTTTCTTTAATATAGGGTCTTGGTGATTGGAGTGGAAGGGGGGAGCGTACGAGCATCCTAGTTGGGAGAAGACTTCGTCGAAGAAGGGGACGCCTGCGAGGATACCCTAGATGTGTTGAATGTTATGTTAGTATGGATTGTTTCGGGTAAGTGGTGCCTGGTGGTGGTGGTGGTGGTGGTGGTGGTTACCTCGCTCTTTCCTAGTAATCGTGCTTCGCCTTCGGATTCCCCCACTACGAAACCGCCATAGTCGAAGCTGGGACAGTCTTCTTCGAGCCAGTCGGCGATGAGACGCTTGTAGTTGCCTGGGAGGAGGTGACGGAGGTCACCGTATTGGGAAGCCATTGTGGTATGTAGTGATGTTGTTGTTGATGTATATGTTGGTTGGAGTTGCTTGGGGGAAAATGATGGAGATGAAGCTGGAGGAACCAAACCCCGCGCGGGGCACATCGGAGTTTCGGCGCATGGCATCGGGACCCTCCGGGTTGCGGTTGGTTTGTTTGGTGGTCATGTGATTTGTATACACAGGATAGGGATTCATGTTTATGTTTATGGTATTAACAATGGATGATAGTTTACTGTAAGATATCAATATCCCGTCTTACATGATTCAAGGGTAAATATCACCTCGTATATGATACTCCATCAACATTAATAATGGGTGGAAGTATACTCCCCCGAATGCAGCAAGCAAAGTATGAATACGAACACGAAGTCGACGACACATCCAACCCATGGACCCAATTACCAGTGATACGTAGCTTGTCTACTAAGCACAGCTCCACGGCTAGACCTGGATTCCATTAATCCGAGCACATAAAGTCTCAGGAAGCTGTCGTTGTTTACTGGACGGAAGGATTTCAAGCTTTGACACGACAACCGGGGGAGCTTACATGCAAAGTAAACATCTACTCAGCCTCAACGATGGTGTTGGCAAGAGTTACTAACATATGGATACGTTAATGCTGGCGTCATGAGCTGACATCAGTTCTGAAACCCCCTGTGGGCTTTGTCCAACTTCTTTCTACTAGCGATGGATGTGCACTGCCTTGTTTAATCTTGGGTGACTACAGGCAGCACAATTCTTGACATATGGGGTACAACAGGGGGGCGGGGGGAAGAGGGGTATTGGCAAGAAGTTGTAAGGTATAGCTGTCATGGATGTATTACTGAATGTAAGTAAGTTAGTAATTAAGTATTAGAGTATCAACGACACAGGGGATACCTTCCAACATTCATCCATATATGAAGCTGACTTGGATAGTAGTAGTAGTAGTAGTAGTAGTAGTAGTTATGAGCTACAACCCAACATGAGCAAACAAATAGCACTAAACTATATTAGCTACCTCCAAGATATGTCAAAAGAAATATGCACACAACTCGGCACCCGATCACCTTATGCACCTACTGCATGTGACATCTACCCAAGACCTCTTATCCCACACAACCCTTACCTACTACTCCATCCCACCTGCAAAGGCCATCATATGGCATTTACTAGTTACTTCAGAAACAGTGAGGGGAATGCGCGGGGTAATCAGTAGTAGTAACTCCAAAGTAACTTATGTATTAACTGGACAAGGATGCCCGCAGCTCAAACCCCCAGATAGTTTCAAGCAAAAGTAGTACAAACCCGTCACACAGACCAGCCACCTGGTTGCTAACTATGTATCTGTACATGCATGGATATAAGGGGGGTTACAAGGAGATGATCATCGCCTTTGCAATCTCATGCACCTGATCGTGTGATGGTAGTATTTATATTTTAGTGTTGGTGTGCTGTGCTTAGCTTGGTTGCTGTGATGTGTTGTGTTGTCCCTGTGCACGCCCGGGGGGGTTGGGTGTGTGGGATGGAATTTTGACTCCAATTCGGGGTTTAAGCATACTACTACAACAAAGAACGGGATGGGGCATGCCAGGGGGGTTGTCTAGAAAATTGGAGAAATTCTTCATGATGATACTCGAATACTTACTTAACGCCTATGAGATCCATCCTATTCACAAAGTGTATATATTACCCTTTCTTCCACTGTAGTTGTAGCAGTCAGTAGGGGGATGGTCAACTACTTACAAAATAATCACAGTATCCGTCCACACACACACCAACACTAAATCCAGCATAAACTTAATCCTCCCTATAATATGCATTATATGTTCCCCTCTCCCTCCCCCATTCTAGCCCGTAAACAACTATGATCACCATGCCAAGCTTCACCGGAAATCTACTGTCGGTGCCCGAGAGCGAGCGAGAGAGAGAGAGAGAGAGAGAGCCCCGGTATCATTACAGTATCCGAAACATTTCCGTTGTGTTTTGATACCGTATATAGTACATATGTATATATACAGTATTTACCGGGTTTTGGGCTGGAAACACTGATACATGATGTAATTATGCACAAGTTATGCAGTCTGCGCAGGTCCTCGTGTATATACTACTTTACTATACCCTGAGCTATATGCATATAGATATAAGATGAATCTTATATTATACACGCACACACTGTATAACATAAACTCATCCAGCAGAATTGATCCCCTTTCCCCCCCTAACATTTCTCCAGAATTATTTCCGGCATCTTAATACTACCGACCACTCCCCAATATAGAAGACTGATTGATTACTGTGTATATCAAACGCTAGAACCCAATAGCGGGATTCCAGAAACTCTTGGCAAATAATCAGGAACCACCATATTCCCACTCATACATACACCCACGATGAGTGAATTTCCCAAGACGATCCCACACTCAATCAATCAACACTATACCTCTTACCAGCCACATTTCAGTAGTATACAATTTTTAATTCTTTCCTGGATGTATCGATAGCTTGCTTGGCTCAAACTTAAGCTGCCGGCCAATGCTGATTAATGCATTATCATCATTAGTAACCCCCTCAGCCAGCCCATGGAAACTTCCAGTCCGGGACGGAGACTTTTTTTTTTTCTTCTTGTCTTCACTAGTGAGTCAAATGTAGCAGCACGGAGACTTTTTCTTGCTCAAACTAACTAACTACATACTAACTAGTCTACACACACTTCACACGGAGAGGCAAGAACCACTGCGGATATTGCGGATATAACGGTCCAATCCCGGTGCCTCAATACCCGCACCTTAACTAGGGGATGTTTTGGGTTAGGTCGGTTGGTCCCATCTGTACAGTTGCGCGGAAAATGAATTGATTGATTATTGCTAGTTTAGTCTGACAATGCCCGATCTGGTAATGGGTGTGGATCTCCACATGCGAATATCCACCTACCTGAGGCTTTTTCATTCCATAGAAACACCACAATCCATCACTGTTTGCCTTCTGCTTCAGGTGGATCTCCTCCATACGCCCGTTTCGTTTCAATCTGGGCTTTGCTCTTGCTTGCTAGACCCGCTTCGGATACATATCACGGGTGATAAGGATAAATCGGCACGCTGTGATCATGTGATGCGATGGATAATCGGATGATTGCCAAGACATTTTTTTCAGATCAAAAAGAAAAAATGATTATTGTCGAGATTTTTTCTGGCTAGTACATATTAGATCAGCGGAATTAAAAGACGGAGAGTTCCGTAGTTCTAGATAGGAATGGATGTCCCTGCCTCGGCGACGTACGTCCACGCCCATGCCGAGCCTAGGCACTAACTAATCTCTCCACCGATCGGCCGTTTATTAATTCCCTGTGGCATGACTCTTTCCCGGTAGTTTACCTCGGGTTCTCGTTGTGGTTCTGGTTCTGTTTTGGTTCAATCCCTCCAGGCCTTATACACGATGGTGCTACCGTACTTCTGCCCCTTCGGGAGAACGACCGTGTGCCGCCATCTGGGCTCATTGACCGCATTGACAAACCGACTGGGCTCGATGCAGAACCCCG